CTTTTGCGTGGGGAGGTCCTGCGTCTTCTCACTGCTGAGCCTGAGAAAGGAAAACAGGGAGATATACAGAGACGTGGGAGAGAAAGAGAGACCAAGATGACAAAAGCGGACCAGGGAGACAGAGACTCAGCCCCCACCTCCGCCCTCCTCCTGCTCACCTTGTTGAAGAAGTAGATGGAGGTCAGGATGGTGAACACGGCCATGGCCAGGGTCACATTCTAGGGGGAGGAGATCAGAGGTAAGGACCCTTCCCCTCCCTGCCCTCTGCCCCGCCCTAGGCCTCCCTTCCCTGCCAGACCCCTTCTCACTTCCTGGAAGTTCATGGCCTTGGGATTCCAGCCACCCCTTGCTTGGTCTTTTCTCCCTTTCCCGGGTCTCTGAGCCAGAGAGGGGAGAAGCCACTGGAACCCCAAGAGGGGGTTGTCAGAGCAACAAGAATGGTGGCCAGGGCAACAGGGAAGGGCATTCTGGCAGAGGCACAGGGCAGAGACAGACCCTGGCGTGGCACGCCACACACGGCGTCTGAACGTGACATCGGGACACGTGAGACTGGAGAGTCTGAACCTTGAACATCATAGTGAGGCGTCTGGGTTTTTCCCCGGAGGGTGCTGGGGAGCCATGGGAGGGTTGAGAGCAGGGGAGAGACCGGGTCAGTTCTGGTTGTAGAAATATCTCACAGTAGGAGCCTGCAGGCCAGGAGAACAGTTGAGGAGGCCCAGGCAAAATTTCCTCCTCCAGATGGGAGGATCACTTGGGCTCAGGAGGTTGAGGTTGCCATGAGCCAAGATCACACCACTGCACTCCAGCCTGGGCAACAGAGCGAGATCCTGTCTCCACAACTACAACTAAAACATAAAATAAAATAAAATACATGTGATACATGCATGTGTGAGATATCTATTCACCTATCACTACCACAAAAAAGGAGACTATACAATCTGGCTATTCACGTAGCTATTTGCATTATTTCTGGCAGATAGAGTCTTGCTATTTTTGGTAGCTATGTTGTACAACTGTGAACACTTATTGGGGAAATACGTGTGTGTGTGTCCATATATATGTACTATATCTATGTACTATATATGTACTAATATGTGTACTATATATATACTATATATATGTACTATATATATACACACATATATAGGGTTGGGTGCGGTGGCTCATGCCTGTAATCCCAACACTTTGGGCAAGTGAGACAGGAGAATCGCTTGAGCCCAGAAGTTCGAGACCAGCCTGGGCAACATAGTAAGACCCCATCTCTTTAAATATATATAAATATAGGCCAGGCGCAGTGGCTCACACCTGTAATCCCAGCACTTTGGGAGGACAGGGCAGGAGGATCACTTGAGGTCAGGAGTTTGAGACCAGCCTCGCCAACACGGTGAAACCCCATCTCTACTAAAAAAACAAAAAAATTAGCCGGGTGTGGTGGTGTGCACCTGTAGTCCCAGCTACTCGGGAGGCTGAGGCATGGGCAACACTTGAACCCTGGGCAGAGGAGGTTACACTGAGCCGAGATCACGCCACTGCACTCCAGCCTGGGCAACAGAGTGAGACTCCATCTCAAAATAATAATAATAAATAAATAAAAATAAATAGAAAAATATATACATGTATTAATGAGGCAGTGGGTCCCTATTTGCTGATTCAGTGGTCACAGTTGTACAACATCGCTCCTATGAATAACACGGATTGTAAAACAATACCTCAGGGCACTACCCAGAAAATTCCAGAAGGTAACACATTCTGCAGAGCAAGGGGCACTGTCTCTCCAACAAATCCATGCCACAATGCAAAACAAAAGCAAGTGGCCTTGCTATATTTGAAAAAATCCATTAAGAGACGCAGGACCAGCTTTGATGGGTGATCCTGGACCAGGTTTTGGTTTAGACAAACAAGTGATAAAGGCTCTTCAGGTGGGAGACTGAGGCAGGAGGATGGCTTGAAGCCAGAGGTTTGAGACCATCCTGGGCAGCGTGGCAAAACCCTGTCTCTACTAAAAATACAAAAATTAGCCAGGTGCGGTGGTGTGCACCTATAGTCCCAGCTACTCAGGAGGCTCAGGCACGAGAATCACCAGAACCCAGAAGGCAGAGGCTGCAGTGAGCCGAGATCGTACCACTGCCCTCCAGCCTGTGTGACACAGTAAGACCCTGTCTCAAAAAACAAAACCAAACAAAGTCTCTTTGGGGAGAAATGGAGGGACATTTGAATAGGGAGTGGGTATCAGACAAGACCAAAGCACTATTGCCAAGGAGAAGAGGAGGTTAACTGAAAGACGCAGGTTACAAAATTGCAGGTTCTGTATGATCTCATTTTGGTAAGAAGTACATATATGAAAAACTGCATTTAAACATCAGGTTTCGCTCTGTCGCCCAGGATGGAGTGGAGTGACAGAATCAGGGCTCACTGCAGCCTCAACTTCAGGCTCAAGCGACAAGTGGCTGGGACTACAGGTGTGCGCCACTACACCTGGCTAGTTTTTTGGTATTTTTAGTAGAGACGGGGTTTCACCATGTTGCCCAAGCTGGTCTGAAACTCCTGGACCCAACTGATCTGCCCACTTTGGCCTCAGAAAGTGACAGGATTACAGGTGTCAGCTACCATGCCTGGCCCAGTTATATTGATTGCAGACTTCCAACCTCCCGAACTGTAATGGGATAAATGTGTGTCGTTTTAAGCCACTGAGTGGTAACCTGTCACAGCAGCCAATACGTCAGTAGATATTAAAGTGCTGACATCTCCAGGGGCTAGAACATGGTTTCTAGTTTCTTAATTTTGCTTCAGGTTTTTTTTTTTTTTTTCTCTTTTCTATTTTTTTTAGAGACAGGGTCTTACTCTGTTGTCCAGGCTGTAGTGCAAAGGTAAGATTATGGCTCACTGAAGCCTCAAATTCCTGGACTCACGTGATCCTCCCATCTCAGTCTCTTGAGTAGCTGGGACGACAGGCACACACCACCATACCATGCCTGGCTAATTTTTGTTTATTTTTTATAGAGATGGAGTCAGGGCGGTGGGGGTCTCTTCATGTTGGCCAGGCTGGTCTTGAACTCCTGGCCTCAAGCAATCCTCCCACCTTGGCCTCCCAAATTCTGGGATTACAGGTGTGAGCTGCCAGCTCCTGGTCTGGCTTAAGCCTCCAGCTCTTCTACTACTTTATTCCAGGGGCCTCTATCGTATTTTAAGTACGGGGAGAGAGAGAGATTCACAAAACTTTCGTAACTGGTGCAGGAGCTCACACCTGCAATACCAGCACTTTGAGAGGCCAAGCTGGGAGAACTGCTTGAGTTCAGGAGTTTAAGACCAGTCTGGGCAATACAGCAAAACTCTGTCTCAAAAAAAAAAAAAAAAAAAAACAGGACAGGACTGGAGGCTGACTGTGCACAGTGAGGCAGGAGAGCCAGCCAGGCCCAGATGGTGCTAAGTGTAGATTTTATCAGCACTGTGGGATGGTAAGGCCGCCCGAGCAGCAGACGATTGCCACTGAAAGATGACTTGTTGACTGGGCATGGTGGCTCACGCCTGTAATCCTAGCACTTTGGGAAGCCGAGGCGAGTGGATCACCTGAGGTCAGGAGTTCGAGACCAGCCTGGTCAACATGGTGAAAACCCATCTCCACTAAAAAAAAACAAAAACGAAAATTAGCTGGCCATGGTGGCACATGCCTGTTATTCCAGCTACTGGGGGGCTGAGGCAGGAGGATCTCTTGAACCTGGGAGGTGGAGGTTGCAGCGAGCTGAGATCGTGTCACTGCACTCCAGCCTGGGCAACAGAGTAAGACTACGTCTCAAAAAAAAAATAAAAAAATAAAATAAAATAAAAAGAAAGAGGCCGGGCGCGGTGGCTCACGCCTGTAATCCCAGCACTTTGGGAGGCCGAGGCGGGTGAATCACAAGGTCAGGAGATCGAGACCATCTTGGCTAACACGGTGAAACCCCTTCTCTGCTAAAAATACAAAAAATTAGCCGGGCGCGGTGGCGGGCGCCTGTAGTCCCAGCTACTCGGGAGGCTGAGACAGGAGAATGGCATGAACCCGGGAGGCGGAGCTTGCAGTGAGCCGAGATCACGCCACTGCACTCCAGCCTGGGCGATGAAGACTCCATCTCAAAAAAAAAAAAAAAAAAAACAAAAGAAAGAAAGAAAAAGAAGAAAAAAGAAAGAAAGATGACTTGTTATACTCACAGTTTCTCCAGAGGAGGGAGCATGCCACGGGGGCCACACGGGGAGGCACTGGGGTGCCCGGGAGACAGACCTGAAGCAAGCAGCTTCTTTGTGTTTTCTGTGGGATAAGGTAGGGTAAAGAGTGGCTGGTTGAGCCATTTCAGCAGGCTCTGGGGCACAGGGGCTGTCCTGAGTCGTCCAGTACCCTGCCCCAGGTGATCAGGGCAGGTGGATGGTGGTCCGGGTGGTTGGGGTGTGGGCTCTGGGTTGGCTGGTTTGTACAGAAGAGGCATGCGCCTGGGCCAGTCCGTGACTATTTCCAGGAACTGGTAACCCCGGGAGGGGCAGTCCTTCTAATGAATAGCAAGGCCCCTGGTGTCAACGCATCAAAGTACAGAAAATCAAGCCCATGGTTACTACCATCGACCTCTCTGACTCAGGGGGTCAAGGCTGTGGCTGAGATGAACAATGTGGGGTGAGGGTCTCTTTCCAAGTCTGCATCCAGGTTAAAGGCACCTGGGTTCAAATCGCAGCTTTGTCTGAGAAACCTCAGTGTTTTCTTGGGCAAGTTACAGAACCCTTCTGTGCCTCAGTTTCCCCAACGGCACAATGGGGATGATGACAAGCACATCGAGCGTCTGCTGGAGCAGCAGTGAAGACGAAACGAAGATGAAACGGGTTAATCAAAGACTGGCAGAGGTGCTGGGGGATGGGATCTGTGGCCCCTGGGGAAGCGTGCCAGGGCCTGCTATAATGGGGGTGCTGAGTGCAGGGCCGGGACAGGCGGGACTGCGGCCCAGACAGTGGGCTGAGCTCAGCGTCTGGGCTGGGTGGAAATGGCCGGGCTGGGGTTTTGGGGCCACCCTGCTGGACCTCTCCTGCTCCTGCTGCTGCTGCTGCTGCCACCCCGGGCCCTGCCAGAAGGACCTCTGGTGTTCGTGGCTCTGGTGAGGCGCCCCCGCCCCGGCCTGCCCTCAGCTCCCCCAGGGCTAGCCCTGACCAGTCCTGTCCCCAGGTATTCCGCCATGGCGACCGGGCCCCGCTGGCCTCCTACCCCACGGACCCACACAAGGAGGTGGCCTCCACCCTGTGGCCACGAGGCCTGGGCCAGCTGACCAGGGTGAGAAGTGGGTGGGAGGTGAGGGCAAGGGTGGGAGGGGTGGAGAGGCGTAGACTAAGGCTGTTCTGTCCCCAGGAGGGGGTCCGCCAGCAGCTGGAGCTGGGCCGCTTCCTGAGGAACCGCTATGAAGCCTTCCTGAGTCCCGAGTACCGGCGGGAGGAGGTACTGCCATAGTCACCCCCACCTGGCCCCCTGACCTTCCACCTGTGACCTCCACTGACTACAACACTCTCTTTGGGCCTCCACCTCTGGCCTTTGACCTCCATCAACCTGACTTGCCCTCTACCTCTAATCTCTGACCCCCGGTACACTGACTAACCCACACTGACTTCTGACTCCATCTCAACCTGTCACATCTCGACCTCTGACCTCCACCAACTCTGACTTTATTATTTGGCCTCCATCTCTGTTTTCTAGTCCCGTTGACTCCAATCAGACCTCTGGTCTCTGACATTTGACCCCAAACTTGATTTCGATCTTTGACCCTTATTGACGTAACTTGCCTTCCTGACCTCTAACCTTTAACCTCTACACTTTGTCAATTCTGACCTACCTCTTTTGTTTCCTCCTATGTCTTCTGACATCCCCCAGTTACAGACAGTCCTCCTGACCTCTGATGAACATGTATTGAACTCTGACACGAAGCCTCCATGCTGCCCTCCTAAACTTGACCTCTAACCTCCAGCCTCCACCGATTCTGATCTTCCTTTTTGACCCTCATTGACTCAATTGACCCCCTAAATCCAACATGGCTGTCCAGTTTAGGACGTCCAGCCCAACTGCTCCTGACATTAACCTCTGGACCCTTGATCCCAACTTCCAACATTGACGGCCACATGATTCTCAGTGTCTGACCCCTATTCCAAACTGAATCTGAGGCTTCTGATTTGCCACCACAGCTGACCTCTGACCCCAACCACGACCCCCCGCCTGCCCTCTCTCCACCCCACTCCAGGTGTACATCCGCAGCACGGACTTTGACCGCACACTGGAGAGCGCGCAGGCCAACCTTGCCGGGCTGTTTCCTGAGGCTGCTCCAGGGAGCCCGGAGGCCCACTGGAGGCCGATCCCAGTGCACACAGTGCCTGTGGCTGAGGACAAGGTCAGGGCGCTGGACCCAGGTGTGGTGAGGGAGGGAGCGGGTGGAGAGAGAGGCAGCTCTGGGTCTGGCCACCTGAGCTAGCTCCGAGAAGCAAGGCTGTCCTCGAGCCGGTCTGTCCAGACCAGCGTGAGCCCGGGCCCACACTGCTCTTCTGCATCTGGGAGAAACTGTGACAGACGCAGGGGCACACAGCCCGGGTTCCCCCAACCCGCTGTGAGACCCAAGGCACGTGGCTGTCCTCTCTGAGCCTCAGTTCTCCCCAGCTGCTGAGGTTCCCCATGCGCAGCTGTCCCAGATACCACGAGCTGCTGCGGGAGGCCACCGAGGCCGCCGAGTACCAGGAGGCCCTGGAGGGCTGGACGGTGAGTAGGGCGGTGGCGGGGTGGGGCGAGGCGCAGGGGACCGGCCAGGGCTCACCCAGCCCCGCGCATCCAGGGCTTCCTGACTCGCCTGGAGAACTTCACGGGGCTGTCGCTGGTTGGAGAGCCGCTACGCAGGGCATGGAAGGTTCTGGACACACTCATGTGCCAGGTGAGCCCCGCCCCTTCCCAGCCAAGGGTTTAAGGACAACTGTTTCCAATCCCAGCTTGCTACTCACTAGCCCTGTTCCCTCATGCATTTAGTTAACCCTCTGTGCCTCAGTTTTCCCATCTGCACAGTGGGGATGGCAACACCGGTATCAACACCTCCCCAGGACGCCGTGAGGATTCAAATGGTTAATCTACGCACTGTGCCTACAACAGTGCCTGGCGCACAGTGAAGGCCTTGCCAGGGTTTGAGGCTCCACATTTGGCAATTCCTCCCCACAGTCCTGTAATCAGAAAACCCAAAACCTGGGCGGCGGGAGCTGACCTGAAATAGACAGGGTCTCGCTCTGTCACCCAGGCTGGAGTGCATTATCATAACTCACTGCATCCTCCATCTCCCTGGCTATAGGAATCCTCATGCCTCAGCCTTCCAAGTGCTGAGGCAGGTGCACACCACCATGCCTGGCTAATTTAAAAAAAAAAAAAAAAAAAATTTTTTTTTTTTTTTCAGAGATGGGGTCTCACTATGTTGCCCAGGAACTCGTGGGCTCAAACAATCCTTTTGCCTCCCCAAGCGCTGGGATTACAGGCGCGAGCCACCACACCTAGCTAGCACTCTTGCTAGTCTTTGCTCGATCCAGCTCACGGAATGTTCCAAATCACAGGGTGGGAGCAGCAATGTGTGTGACTAAGGGGGCTGCCCCAGCCCTTGCTGTGTGTGTTCCATGCTGTGCGGTGTCAGCACCATCAGATCTTTCTGAAGTCCAGAATGTCTGAGCTGTGAAACCCCCCTGGTCCCAGGGGTTTCAGATAAAGCCTTCTGGGCTGTGGAAGGACAACGTCTATTATTAATAAATAATCGCTGTTGGCCGGGTGCGGTGGCTCATGCCTGTAATCCCATCACTTTGGGAGGCCGAGGTGGGTGGATCACCTGAGGTCAGGAGTTCGAGACCAGCCTGGCCAACATGGTGAAACCCCGTCTCTACTAAAAATACAAAAATTAGTCCGGGCGCGGTGGCTCAAGCCTGTAATCCCAGCACTTTGGGAGGCCGAGACGGGTGGATCACGAGGTCAGGAGATCGAGACCATCCTGGCTAACATGGTGAAACCCTGTCTCTACTAAAAAGTGCAAAAAACTAGCCGGGCGAGGTGGCGGGCGCCTGTAGTCCCAGCTACCTACTTGGGAGGCTGAGGCAGGAGAATGGCGTAAACCCGGGAGGCGGAGCTTGCAGTGAGCTGAGATCCGGCCACTGCACTCCAGCCTGGGCGACAGAGCGAGACTCCGTCTCAAAAAAAAAAAACAAAAAAAAAAAACCCAAAAATTAGCTGGGCATGGTGGCACGCACTTGTAATCACAGCTACTCGCGAGGCTGAGGCAGGAGAATCACTTGAACCTGAGAGGCGAGGATTGCAGTGAGCCGAGATTGTGCCACTGTACTCCAGCCTGGGTGATGGAGCAAGGCTCCGTCTCAAAAAAAAACCACACTACTGTCCACATTCATGATTTCCCAGCCTGATCCAGATCCAGCCCATGGGGGACTCAAAAGAGCAGGGGGCAGCACAGGCCTGCGGGGCCAGAGGCAAACTCGAGGGCTCAGGATGGTCCGTCAGTCTTCTCTTCCCGTCTCCCCACAGCAAGCCCATGGTCTTCCACTACCAGCCTGGGCCTCCCCAGATGTCCTGCGGACCCTTGCCCAGATCTCGGCTTTGGATATTGGAGCCCACGTGGGCCCACCCCGGGCAGCAGAGAAGGCCCAGTTGACAGGGGGTGAGGTGTGGGGCCGGGAGGCTGGGGTGCCTCCCTCTGGGAGATTCTAAGCTCTTTTTTTCCCATCCTCAGGGATCCTGCTGAATGCTATCCTTGCAAACTTCTCCCGGGTCCAGCGCCTGGGGCTGCCCCTCAAGATGGTCATGTACTCAGCCGTGAGTCCTTGGGAAGCAGTGCCATATGACACTGAGGCACAGGGATGAGGGTGACAGCAATTTGGGTGAGGAAGAGCCTGCGGTCCCAATGGACCCCAGTCCATTGCCTTGGGTAGCCTGTATCTCCAAACCCTACTCCTGGGCTGTATCATTAGTCTGGAAAGAGGGAGGTGATGGTGTCACAGGAGGAAGAATTTATGAATTAAAGATAATTCCTTGTTTTCATTAAGAAAATACTGGCCAGGCGCGGTGGCTCAAGCCTGTAATCCCAGCACTTTGGGAGGCCGAGAAGGGCGGATCACGAGGTCAGGAGATCGAGACCATCCTGGCTAACACGGTGAAACCCCGTCTCTACTAAAAAATACAAAAAACTAGCCAGGCAAGGTGGCGGGTGCCTGTAGTCACAGCTATTTGGGAGGCTGAGGCAGGAGAATGGTGTAAACCCGGGAGGTGGAGCTTACAGTGAGCCGAGATCCGGCCACTGCACTCCAGCCCGGGCGACAGCGAGACTCTGTCTCAAAAAAAAAAGAAAATATTGGACTAAGCAATCTGTCCTTCCAGAGGAGACAGGCTGCTTCGTCCAATCATATTTTGCACCTATTTGCGCAATCTTTATTAAATGGCCGCCTGTAACTGTTGGTACTGCCTTCAGGGTGAGAGGGAGGGAGGCGCAAGTTTGGGGGGTTGGTTCCAAGCAGCCTGGGGGACATCTGGATGCACAAGTCTAGTGTTCAGGAGAAAGGAGGCCTCCAGAGAGAAGTGTCATCTCACCCCTCGGCTCCACCTGCAGCATGACAGCACCCTGCTGGCCCTCCAGGCGGCCCTGGGCCTCTATGATGGACACACCCCGCCATATGCCGCCTGCCTCGGCTTTGAGTTCCGGAGGCACCTGAGGGATCCTGATAAAAACGGAGGGTGAGGATGGGATGGTGCCCAGGGAGGTGGGCGGGACAGACCTCCCAAAGCAAGGTGTGATGTGCTAGGCAGAAGGCATGGCGGGGCAGGGAACTGCATGGGATGGTGCTGGGAGGATAACAGGTGGGAGTCAGGAGCCCGTTTCTCCAGGTTTTAAGATCAATGACGGGAGGGAGGAGGTGCCACTGTGTCCTCTCTCTCCAGGAATGTCACCGTCTCCCTCTTCTACCGCAATGACTCCGCCCACCTGCCCCTGCCTCTCAGTCTCCCCGGGTGCCTGGCCCCCTGTCCACTACGCCGCTTCTACCAGCTGACTGCCTCTGCCCGGCCTCCGGCCCATGGGGTCTCCTGCCATGGCCCCTATGAGGCTGCCATCCCCCCAGGTGACAGTCCTCTGTGCCAGGGTGGGAGTAGAGGGTTCCAAGTCCTGAAACTCACACCCTGTGTGTTCTCCCTGCAGCTCCAGTGGTGCCCCTGCTGGCCGGAGCTGTAGCTGTGTTGGTGGCACTCAGCTTGGGGCTGGGCCTGCTGGCCTGGAGACCAGGGTGCCTGCGGGCCTTGGGGGGCCCCGTGTGAGCCAGAAACCAGGGTTTTCCTACCCCCAGCTGACACTGGACCCCAACACGTATGCTCACTAGCTGCTCTGGCTTCTGTGAGTTACTGTGCGCCTGTGTGCGTGGGGAACGAGGGCTGGGTGGAGTCTCTGGCCCGGAAACCAGTTTGTGTGTGTTTACATGCGCGTCTGTGACAGTGGCATGAGTGTGCATGCATGCATGTTGGAGTCTCTGGCCCGGAAACCAGTTTGTGTGTGCTTACATGCGCGTCTGTGACAGTGGCATGAGTGTGCATGCATGCATGTCACTTGTGACCACTGTTTTTGCGCTTATGCGCGTGCACAGGTAGTCTGTACGTATTTGCTGATAAAAACGTGTCTGTGGCACACATTCAAGCACAAATGTGCCCATGTCTGAACAAGCAGGCATGGCTGCATGGCACTTTTTTTTGGTAGAGACAGGGTCTTACTTTGTGGCCCAGGCTGTAGTAGTGCCATAAGCATAGCTCACTGCAGCTTCGAACTCCTATTTCAGCTTCTACAGGTGTGCACCATGCCTCGTTTTGTTTTCTTGGTATGTTGGCCAGGCTGGCCTCAAATTCCTGGCCTCAAGCAATCCTCCTGCCCTGGCCTCCCAAAGCAGTGGGATTATAGTTGTGAGCCACCGCACCCGGCTGGCATGTTTATGCATGTTTCTATGCAAGCATAGGAAGCATGTGGGCTGGCTGAGGACCTAGTGGACCCTGTATGTACCTCCACATGCAGCTTGTGACAGGAGCTTGCTCAGTGAGCCTCGATGTGGGCCATGTGCTCTGCGGAGACGGGGCTCACAGGAGTTGGACCCTCGTCTGGTTTTCTAGTGACCCACACCAGCTCTCAAAGCAACCATGAACTCGGGTGGGGTCAGGGGGATCCAGCAGCAGAGACCTCAGAAAGGTACACGATTCAAAGCCTGGTTTCCGAGGCTGTGCGCCTCTGGGCAAGTAATAGGCCCTTCTGTGTCTCACTCGGCCGAACGACTCTAACCCACCAAACTCCTCAACTCCCAAACTTCCTTCCAGGAGGCAGGCAGAGAGCAGGGAAAGATGTCGGTGCTCTCTGGGTTGTGCACTGCAATGCTGCAAGCGATGTGGACGCGCTGGCCACTACAGTAGTCACCACCACGTGTGGCTATTTAAATTTAGGTTAAATAAAACGGAGTGTTCGGGTCCCAACCATCGCACGGGCTGTGCATCCACCACTCGAACATTTATCACATGCTGATGAGAGCTGCTCCGCCGCCACTCATGCAGTAGCACGCGCTGTGGAGCACCTGCATGGCTGCCGTTTGAGTCCCTGGCCCAAGGGGAGGTTGCCTCTTTGTGTGGCACAAGGCAGAGCACCAGTCCCTCCCAGGCCTTGTCCCACACCCATGGTTGTGTGGCAGCGTCTAACCAGAGCACTCGTGGGGAGCCTGGGTGCAGTGGACGTTTAGTAACAGCCACTTGGTCCCCATTACACGGGGCAGTTGGAGCAAAGTTCAAAGCCACTCCCAGTGACCAGAACCTAAAAAACGGACAGGGGTCCAGAAATGCCAGTGAGTGGAAGCTGGGACAACCCCTCCGCCCCCCGGTCCACCTGCATGCCACCCCAGCGCATTTCTTCCCAGGGTCCTGAGGGCAGCCTCTCATGCACTCGTCCCCGGGGAGTCCCCAGACCCGCCTCACTGCCCTTCCCGGCATTCCCTAGAGGTGTTGGGTGGTCACGGGGCACCCCAGATGGATGATGCCAGGAGCCATGACCCTGGGAAGGCTGAGGAATGAACGCCCCTCATACTTTCTGGCCCTGGGAGGGAGCCTGGCTGCTTCCCTGCAGGTTCATGGACACCGCAAGTGCCAGGTGGGGTTCCCTGTGGCTGTGACCACCTCTCACCTGGTGGTGAGAGCCCACCCTTTCCCAGCAGCCTGCTGGAACGGCCTGTGCAGAGCCGGGAGTCCGCTAGTGGGCAGAGGCCTGGGTGGATCCCCCTGGACCCAGCCCAGCAGCTGAGCCCACAGAGGGCTAAGCGGTATGTCCGTGGTTTAACAGGGGCCCCTGTGCCCAAGACCTCAGCTGTGAAGCCAGAACCGCCAGGGCTCAGTGAGTCCTCACAGAGCTGTCACCTGTGATCCTGGCCCCAACACACCCTAAACCCAGACCCAGAACTCAGACCAGACAGAAGTCACACACAGCAAAACCAGACCCATCAGAAGGGACTGGGGCTGACCACAGCACACAGCCAATGCACTTTCAGAGAGAAGGCACAGCAACAGAGGTCTTAAGAGAAAACCCATGACAGGCCTGGCGTGGTGGTGGCAGCTCCCATCTGTAATCCGAGCACTTTGGGAGGCCAAGGCGGGTGGATCACCTGAGGTCAGAAGTTCGAGACCAGCATGGCCAACATGGTGAAACCTCATCTCTACTGAAAATAGAGCCAGGCGTGGTGGCAGGTGCCTGTAATCCCAGCCTCTTGGGAGGCTGAGGCAGGAGAATCACCTGGACCCAGGAGGTGGAGGTTGCAATGAGCCAAGATTGCACCACTGTACTGCAGCCTGGGCATCAAGAGCAAAAACCATCTCAAAAACAACAAAACAAACCAATCCTTACAAACACTAAGTAAAAGCTTCAAGATGCTTTTATGTCATGGGTGTGGGGTCTCCCTGCTTGGCCTGCAGTGCTTTGGGGCTCCATGTGGTGGAGGGGTGGGCACCCATGGTACCCACCTACCCTGCTGCCTGGGCAGAAATGTAATATGGCACACAATGCATGGGGGAATCACTCCCCCCAGACACTCATGGTAAGTGTCCACTCACGCAGCCTGCTCCCCTCATGACGTCTGGCCAGTGACACCCACGGCGGGGAGAGGTTGAGGGCAGACACCCCTCTCTTCCGGAGCCCTTGAACAGTGTCAGGGTGTGGCTAGCTCGAGGGATGCCGAATGGCTCCACCGGGAGGGTACTGCCCAAGGCTTTTTGCCTCCCCTACCATGTCCCGCACTTCCTGACTGCAGCTCAAACCAGGAGCAGCTCCCCCAGGATTCTGGCCTGTTTCACCCCTGGAGCACCAGGCCAAGTGGTATCTGTCCTTGGCAGCCAGGCCCAGGTCTCATGGCGGCATGTAGGCAGCTCCTCCCCACAGGCCTGGTCAGAACAGGGGAGCAGGGTGGCTCCTCCTCCAGCCTGCAGGAAGCCCTTGGTAGCCCACTTATCCACCTTCTCCTGGGTGTGCGGCTCAGCAGCCAGGTCCATGTGCACTGGGTTGGGTCCTAGCGTGAGCCTGGCAGCCTCTGGCTCCATGGAAAGCAGCCTGCTGTCGGCAATGGCCTGGATGTCCAGGACAGCCTAGAACAACGTCATGCCCTTGACCAGCTGGCGCTGGTACAGGACCTGGGTAACCTAACAGGCATGTCCTTGGGCGTCACTGGCTCAGGGGCAGACGATGGGGTTGAAGAGGAAGCTGGATACCCCTCTCCATGGTGGGCCAGGGCTGGAAGGGCGGCTCAGTGGCCTCGAAGTGCTGGGAGGACTCCCAGCTGGCACCAGGCCACCAGCAGCCAGGTGGGCAGTGCCGCGCTGCTGTTGCCCTCAGGGCCTTGCAGTGGTAGCTGAAGATGGCACCTTGTCAGGTTGGATCAGGTCGCCCAGCAGCAGCAGCAGTTCTTGAGAGATGAGGCACAAGGCAGGCGCCCGGCCGTACACCTGCAGGGCCCAGGAGAGCTTGTTGCGGTTCTTGCCCGAAGCGCCGAGACAGCCAGGAGCTGTGTCCCTGTAGCGGGAGCAGAACCAGCTCCGGCCCAGGGGGGTGGGTGCAGCACTTTCCTAGCCACGGCTGCAGCCACGCCTAGGCAGGAAACAGCAGAGAGCCTGGAGGGACGCCGTCAGGGGAAAGACATAGAAAAGGCGCTGAATGGGGGAAATGGCCACACCCCCACCCATCAGCTCCTGGAGTGGGGCCCCTCAGACTCCCGGGTGTCAAAGGTCCCGGGGTGCACCATGTCCTCAGGGGCAGTCGGAGCCCAGTGCTGGACATCATGGGGTCCCCAAGTGCAGCCCTTTCAAGGCCCCTGACACTGGACATCTTGCTACAACCCAGTCCCAGCCGCCATCCCACCTCCGCCCGCCAACAGGGTTACTAAGAAGGTTAATGAGCCCAGTGCGTATGGCAGCGACCGGTTTGGCACTTGCTGGGCACCTGTCTACGTCCACCTTCTCGCCATCACCATGAGTAACAGGCAGCCTCCTCTGTTCTTACCAAGGGATGGTCAGGCCCTTCAGCACCTGGAGGCACAGGGGAGGGAAGGTCAGTAGGGTGCAGGGCAGTCAAGACACCCCATGAGCCCTCCCCAGAGTCAGGGCCCCTCAGACCCCCGGGTGTCAAAGGTCCCGGGGGGGCACTGTGTCCTCAGTGGCGGTCGGAGCCCAGTGCTGATCATCATGGTGCCCTCATACCCTCCTGACATGGGTCCCAGGGCCACCTGCTGTCCTGAGGGGGACATCACAGAAGGGTGCTGAGAGATCGGGCAACAAACTGAATGACACTTGGTCCCTGGGGATGCCAGGCCGCCCCCCTCCCCCATCCAGCTCAGTCTGGGTGTGGCTTCTTGTATAATCTAGGCCCACTGACCTCACCCCCATCACAGTGGTGTTTCTCTGGAAAACGGCACATCTGTGGGGTTCAGTGAGAGGACGGGACCAAACCCTTCTGCTTGGACCTCCCGTGCCCTAATGGGATACCCGTCAATTGCCTCTGCCTGCATCTCAGGTCTGCTGCCCCAACCCAGCTCTTCCAAGCTGCTCTGACTTCACCAGAGCCTTCTGTGACATGGGGAAGGGGCAGCTGCCTCCCACTGGGACCCTGGCAGGATAAGTTCAGTTCATTCTCTGCAAAAGCACTAACACTGCGGGCACTCGTTCAGTGTGAGCTGCTGTTATCAACCACAGAAACACCAAAAGCTCCATTTTGCAAAGAAATGTGCTTTGTCCAAAGAGGGGGCCCTTGTTTAAACTAGCCAAGAAAAATTAAAAACCCGGCTCCCAGCCACAAACTAGCCACATTCCAGGTGTCCCAAGAGCCACCCGTGGCCAGTGGCTGCCACACGGGACAAGGTGAGGAACATTTCTATCTGGACAGTCATACGGAAGGCGCCGGCCTAGAATCCAGATGCTACATGGCCCTTCTGTCTTCCCTATCCCGCACCAGCTCTGTCTTCTCACCTCTCACACATCCCTACCCAACGGGCACCGACCCCACTCCTTACGTCCCCAGGAATCCCCTCGAAGCCAGCCATGACGAACGCTCAGCTCCATTCACTCCCCACAGAGGATCTTGGATTAAGAGCACAGGACCCTCAGAGAGATACTCAGGGGAGCTGCAATCCCAGCCCACCCTCCCCAGAAGCCAGCTTCCTTGCCAGAAACAGCTGAAACCTCCAAGAACCTAGAGAACACACTTTCAGGTCTATTTCACTGCAGCCACCGTTCCAGCTCCTGACATCTAAGGAACAAATGAAAATCCTCCCAGAGCTGAGAACACCTGTCTCTTTTCTGATAACACACTCACGCTTGTCTAATGATTTTGTTCTTTGAAAGAATTCTCCTGATAAAGCCTGTTATTTTTATTGTGAAAATAGGGATTCCTTGAATCGTATCAGTTTATATATAAATGGTTCACTGGAGGCTAAGCTGCGCTTAAAGACACATCGCATTCAGCCTACAAAACCCATGAACAACGTGACAGGATCACTTGGGAGTCACTGTTTCTTTTCCAATGCTGAGTTTTGACATGTTTGGTTAGTTCTTTCCCCTGAAACACAAATGCTTGTTCTCTCCAGTCCACACATTCCTCTTCTTATTCAAGCCCTACCTTTGGACGGCAGGAAGTGCTACTGTCCTGGGCCATCTGCTCGGTGCCTGCTCCACAGACATAGCAGTGAGGTGCATAAGAGCGACGGCCTGGTGAATGTCTCAAAGGCTGTAAACAGCAGAGCTGGGATTTGGACCCAGGCTTGCTGCGGAGTTTCACTTTTCTTGCCCAGGCTGCTTCCTGGGTTCAAGTGATTCTCCTGCCTCGGCCTCCCAAGTAGCTGGGATTACAGGCATGTGCCACCACGCCTGGCTAATTTTTTGTACTTTTAGTAGAGACGGGGTTTCACCATGTTGGCTAGGTTGGTCTCAAACTCCAGACCTCAGGTAACCCACCTACCTCAGCCTCCCAAAGTGCTGGGATTACAGGCGTGGGCCACCACGCCTGGCCTGAGATGGTTTTTGTATGTCAACACTGAGTACAATCGTTGACACATAAATTAGTTGCCAGTGATACGGTATGAAGTCAACTTAGACAGTCAGATATTTTAAACCCAGGTGAGTCAAGGAGCAGGAGCAAGGGTTCTTACCTGGATGGGCATGGTGGGTAATCCTAAGCTTGAAGCTGCACCTGTAACACAGAAAGACACAGTGAGGGTGGGGGAAGAAACAGTCTGCAAGTCCATGAGCCATTAAAACTGGGGCCCCTCAGAATCCCAGGTGTCAAATGTCCTGGGGTGCACTGTGTCCTCAGGGGTGATCGGAGCCCAGTGCTAGACATCATGGGAGCCCCAGTCCCTCTGCAACCAGGTCCTGAGGCCACTTACCTTCAGGAACAAAGGCCAAGCTAACAGAGCTTAAAGAGCAGGAAACGTGGCCGGGCACAGTGCCTCATGCCTGTAACCCCAGCACTTTGGGAAGCCGAGGTGGGCGGATCATGAGGTTAGGAGTTCGAGATGAGCCTGACCAATATGAGGATACCCCATCTCTACTAAATTAGCCAGGCTTGGTGGGGCATGCCTGTAATCTCAGCTACTCGGGAGGCTGAGGCAGAACTGCTTGAACCCAGGAGGCGGAGGTTGCAGTGAGCCGAGTCATGCCACTGCACTCCAACCTGAGCAACAGAGTAAGACTTGCCTCAAAAAAAAAAAAAAAAAAAAAAAAAAAAAAAAAGGGGGGGGGGGGGGGGGGGGGGTAGGAAACTCAAAACCCATCCAGAAGGTAGGAATGACCAGTTTTGCTCATGGAAACACCAAGATGCCCCAACCTCCCCAGTGCCACAGGTCCTCGGGGGACTGTCCTCATGGAATGAGCAGGATACCAAATGCACTACATGAAGATGTCCCCGGCGTTCATCCCCAACCCTTTGCGGGTTTCTTTAGCACTGTCTACACCTGCTCATAAGCCATAAACAGAAAGCTGTCAAGACATAAATCCCCTGGAAGACCTTATTGAGAGAAGGGAGGAGGAAGAGGGCTATTCTAGGAAGAAACCAAGACAACTTCTAAATAATAAGTAATGAGCAAAGACCCTCGACTGAATCAGGTTTGAACATATCAGCTGTAAAACACATTTCGAAGGGCTGGGTGCGGTGGCTCACGCCTGTAATCCCAACACTTTGGGAGGCCGAGGTGGGCGGATCACGAGGTCAGGAGATCGAGACCATCCTGGCTAACACGGTGACAACCCGTCTCTACTAAAAACACACAAAAAATTAGCCGGGCGTGGTGGTGGGCGCCTGTAGTCCCAGCTACTTGGGAGGTTGAGGCAGGAGAATGGCGTGAACCTGGGAGGTGGAGTCTGCAGTGAGCCGAGATCGCGCCACTGCACTCCAGTCTGGGGGACAGAGTGAGACTCCACCTCAGAAACAACAACAACGAAAAACCCATTTCGAAGATGACTGAGGATCAGGCACAAAGCAGATTGTTAACTGCAGTATTAAGGAATTAACGTCATTAAGAGTGACAATGCTAACAATATCAAGTAGAAAAATGTTACTTTCGATATACAAGTACACTACTTCTTTCAGGGCAAAGAGTCTGTTCTGTTGCCCGGGCTGGAGCGCAGTGGCGCGATCTTGGCTAAAGACAACCTCCGCCTCCTAGGCTTGGGCGATCCTCCCACTTCCTCCATAAGTAGATGGAACCACAGACCCGCACTACCACGCCTGGCTCACTTTCTATTTTTTGTAGAGATGGGGTTTTGCCATGTTGCTCAGGCGGGTCTCGAACTCCTAGGGTCAAGCGACCCACCCACCTCCCAAAGTGCTGGGATAATAGGCGTGAGCCACGGCGCCCAGCCATGAAACTTACTTTCAACAACTAAGCACAAAGTTTTTGAATATGGCAAGATGGTGCAAATGTTACTTTCCCATTTGTTTGTAGATTTTAATATTGCCAAAGGAGGACGTGCCAATGATGAACGCATGGGAAAAATACTTTCACTTGTGACATGAACAAACTCAATGATTTTCTAGGTGGAAGCCTGAAGGAGCAAAGTCAAGTAGAGATCCTCGCAGGGTCGTGGTGAGGGTGATAGGAAATCAGCTAGCTGTTTCCAGGGTGAGCCTCCTCGGCAGGGGCATGGGCCCCGCTCAAGTCAGAAAACCGATGTTCAAGACAAAGGACCTAAGCCAAAAACTAACGTTAACAAAACCCTCTCACGTGGCATGAACGGGCAGAATGACTCCAGCAAGTAAGCAAAGGCCTCGTGTGCTTTCTTCTACATCCATTCCTACATGGTTCTGAAAAAACCCCAGCAATTTACCTAGAAACCTCACTCCCACTTCTTGGTAACTCGATACCCTGTCTCTGCCCCTATGGAACCCCCCCACAGCCCCCTCCTCTGCCGTCTCCGTCTTTGTTCTAGGTTGCACAAAAACGCCAGCCGTCCAGAATTGTGAACACAAGAGCGAAATCCTAAGGAAGCATCTGAAACCCTCGGAAAGAACTCAATGTCGCCTCCCAACCCGCCCACCCCTCTCCCCCAACCAAACGGACAAGATGGCGGAGGCCCGCGGCGTGCGGACAGCACAAGCGGCGAGCTCCTCCGCGGGGCAGACGGAGGAGGGTCCGCCCCGGCTTTCTTGCTCGCGCCAGCTGTAGAAGTCGCCACCTACCAAATGCCCCAAACAGCCACCACCATCCCCGCAGAAAACTCCCAGACTCGCCCCAGAGCGCGCTCTCTGGGTCCCTGCAAACGCCCTGACCCTGTCCACGCGACTACATGGGCGCTCCCGTTCCAACCGCGAGACCTTCAGGACACGTGCGTCCATCATCTCAAAGCCCCGCCACACAACCGGGAAAAAGCCACACTTACCAAAATTTCTCTCTACAAAGCGGACGCGTGTTGCCGCACGCGCCAATTTATAGCGCGCGCCGCTCTCAAGGCCGGGCCTCGGCGCCAGCCTGCTCTCCTCCAGAGGCGTCCAATACACACGCCTGTTTGGGAAACCCCATTTCATGCTTAGGGAAAGGAATATTGGCTGCTTCCGCTAGAATCTTGCTGAACAAGCGAGGAGACGTTGTCTCTGGGGCTGACAAAAGGGGGCAAGGACATGATGGAAACGATTGTCTTGTCACCTGCGTCCGGCAACTCTGAAGACAGCACCAAAGAGGGGCCGTGAAGTGAAAGGACCCCAAGGGCGGCCCGACCCGCGAGAGAAGCCGCTGGGACTATTTGCGCGGCCGGGACTAGAGCTGAGGCTGCGGAGGCGGGGCCCAAGCCGAAGGGCCGGACCGAAATTAAGTCCCCGCCATGGGGCGGGAGGCGGGGGCCAGTGCGGAGATTGACAGGGGGCCGTCCTGGGAAAGCGCCCACGTGGCGCAGAATTAGAGGCGGAGCCTACACGGTGAGAGGCCGGTCTAGAGCAGGGAAGCAAGGGCCGGAAGGAGGGACCCTGGGTCTGGAGAAGCGGGGGATGAGGTCCCGGACTCCTGGGTCTGAGCGAGGAGGGACTGGGGACCTGGACTCCTGGGTCTGAGGGAGGAGGGGCTGGGGTCGCGATTCCCCTATTTGGGAGAAGAGGGGGTTGGGAGCTGGGACTCGTGGAGCTGAGGGAGGCCTTTGGCGCTCACACCCACTTTTGGTGGTCTAAGGCCTGGGGACCTGCATTCTTGGTAGGGTTGGAGATCTGAGGAGTGTCTTTCCACTGATACGATTATACAGTCTTTCCACTTACGTGATTATTTTGAAAATAAAAGAATGAAACTTCTCTACTCCAAACTCACTTTCTGGGAGTTTCACTGTCAACAGTTTGGGGTGGACTTTATTTATGTTTCATTTTTTCAGGTGGAGTCTTGCTCTGTGGCCCAGGCTGGAGTGCAGTGACATGATTTCAGCTCACTTCATCCTCTGCCTCCCGAGTTCAAGCAGTTCTCCTGCCTCAGCCTCCTGAGTAGCTGGGATTACAGATGCCCATCACCACGCCCAGCTAATTTTTTTGTGTGTTTAGTAGAGACAGGGTTTCACCATGTGAACTCCTGACCTCAAGTGATCTGCCTGCCTCAACCTCCCAAAGCACTGGGATTACAGGTGTGAGCTACCAGGCCTGGCCTGGTGTGGACTTTATACACACACACACACATACACACACACAATGAATAAAGATACTTTTTTCCACTCTAATTTGTCCCATAAGTTGTTTCCCATATGAGTACATACAGAATTATCTCATTCACTAAACAATGGCAAAGGGCTCCTTTGTGTGAGTTGAACACATTTTGTTTAGTGGGTCCCTGGTCAGTGAGGAGATTCCTTTCATGAACCTTGTGGTCTGAAGTAAAAGGAAGAGACCTACATTCCTCTCCTAAGGAAATAAGAGACATTTATGTCACTGGCTGCTGCCTAACTCCAGCATAAAAGCAAAGTCCTCGCTGTGACCGACGCAGCCCTTGGTGATCTGGCCCCTGTCCCCTCTCAGCCTGCATCTCTTTCCTCTCCCTTGGCCTCCCTGGTGCTCCTAGAACCTGCCAAGGACGTTTTTACTTCAGGGACTTTGCATGTGCTGTCCTCTCTGCCTGGAACTATTTTCCCCCATCTACATGGTTTTCTGCCTCCCTTGGTCCTGTCTCTGCTCAGATGTCATCCTGGAGTGGAGTGCCCTGACCTCCTTGCCTCCGCTTTATACGACTATGAGGCTCTCTTCTTCTCAATCCCATCTCACTTACCCTCCTATATTTTTCCTCATAACATTTACCTCTAACCTATTATCTGCTTTAGTTTATTTTATATTTTGAGACAGGGTCTCGCTCTGTCACCCAGGCTGGAATGCAGTGGCATAATACTGGCTCACCACAGCCTCGACTTCTCAGGCTCAATCAATCCACCTGCCTCAGCCTTCGTGTAGCTAAGACTACAAGAGGACACCACCATGCCCAGATAATTTTTGTATTTTTTGTAGAGACAGGGTTTCGCCCTGTTGCCTAGGCTGGTTTTGAACTTCTGGGCTCAAGCCATCTACCCACCTCAGCCTCCTAAAGTGCTGCGATTACAGGTGTGAGCCACCATGCCCGGCCCTAACTACCTATTTATGGACATATTTTGCTGCCCTGCCGAGTGTCAATTCCATAAGGATAAGGATTTGTGTCTGGTTTGATCAGTGCTATCCATCCAGTGTCTGGCACATAGTTGCAGCCCCATCTGTGTTTAACGATGAAATTTGCAGCCAGGAGTAGTGGTTTAACCCTATAATCCCGGCACTTTGGGAGGCCGAAGCGGGAGAATGGCTTGAGCCCAGAAGCTTGAGACCAGACTGAGCAATATAAGAGAGATCAATGTCTACAAAAAAAATTTTTAAATTAGCCAGGCGTGGTGTCACATGCCTGTGGAGCCAGCTACTCAGGAGGCTGAGGTGGGAGGATCGCTTGAGCCCAGGAGGTTGAGGCCGCAATGAGCTGTTGTGCCACTGCACTCCAGCCTGCGTGACAGAGAGAGACCCTATCTCAAAATTAAGTAAGTTAAATAAATAAATTTGGGAGCCTTTTGCAGGAAACGGGGGAGGATTATTGCAATAGTACAGAAAGAGCACACACTATGGGCCAGACATTGTGTTAAATCCTATCTAGATTAAAGTACTATTATTATCCTCCTCTTACAGATGGGTTCCACACCTTGCCTCTGGTCACAGAGCTACTGAGTGACAGAGCCTAGACTCAAAGCCAGGCAACTTAGCCACTGTAGGAGAGGGAGATAGATGGCAGCCCCAGGCCAAGGCCCTGTAGGACAATGATATGACTTTGTACTTGACTTGCAACTCTGCCCTGTCCAGGAAATGGCTCTCTGTTAGCCCCAAACCATCTTCAAAGGGCCGTCACACAGTCCTGTACTGGGGAACTTTGGGGAAAAGAAAGGGTGGTGGAAGGAGCTACTGGTAAGGGCAGGAGGTGAAGTATGGGTGCAGGGGGAAGTTTGCCTCCGGAAGGGTGAATTATTAAGGACAGCAAAAATAAAGGAGGAAGCTAAAAGGGTTTGGGGAGAATGAGATATTTGGCAAACACTGATTAAGCACTATGTGTATGCCAGGGACCATTGGCTTGGCCTCTTGGTTGACCCTGTGCCTTGAGTCCCTTACTTATGAGTCCCTTCCCTTCCTTTCCCTATCCCTCTACCCCAGAGGGCCCAAAGATGGCCCCAGAGAGGGGTTTCAGTTCCACCAATGCTTCCAAGGCTCGGAGCTAAATTAAAGAATATTCTGGGCAGAAAATGCAGATTATTTTAAAAGATATATTATTAATCAGGATTGAGGCGGGTCAGAAGGGACTGAAAAAAGACGCGTCTTGGTGGGGTGAAGGGCCAGAGAGCAGGGTCATCAGACGCTTGACACAGTGCTGTGGGAGCAAGCCCGCGATGGGATCATTCGCATGCCTTAGGTCCGGATGGGCTGGAGCGCCAGGATAGACCAGAAGTACATGTAATTCAGATAGGACAAGAAGCCTTGTGGAGAGGAAGAGGGCACAGGAGATGAGACAGAGTTCATCGGCCCAATCCCAATCACAGTCCTGTCCCCAAGCCCAGCTGCATGCCCTGCTCTGCGTCAAACCCCATCCCCAACCCTATTCTTTTTTTTTTTTTTTTTTTTTTGAGACGGAGTCGTCGCTCTGTCGCCCAGGCTGGAGTGCTGTGGCCGGATCTCAGCTCACTGCAAGCTCCGCCTCCCGGGTTTCCGACATTCTCCTGCCTCAGCCTCCCGAGTAGCTGGGACTACAGGCGCCCGCCACCTCGCCCGGCTAGTTTTTTGTATTTTTTAGTAGAGACGGGGTTTCACCGTGTTAGCCAGGATGGTCTCGATCTCCTGACCTCGTCATCCGCCCGTCTCGGCCTCCCAAAGTGCTGGGATTACAGGCTTGAGCCACCGCGCCCGGCCCCCAACCCTATTCTTAAACCCATCACCAATTCCATCTCATCCCCTAACCTATTCCCAAACCCATCCCTAAACCGAAACTCACCTTCATCCCCTACACTGTCCCTAACCCATTCCCAAATTCCAACCCAGTCCCATCCTCATTATCCAGCCCCATGTGCATCCCCAATCCCACCTCCCACTTCGGTCACTTCCTATCCAGCCCCGTCCACAACCCCACCCCTGTCCCACATGCTATCCCACAAGATTCCTGTCTGCATCCCTGAACCCGTGCCCAAACCCAACTCCATCCTCTCCCACAGCGGTCATCAGGAAGAGGAAGACACTGGCCCAGGTCAGCTAGAAGCTGAGTGCCAGCTGGTAGGTCACGCCTTCCTGCAGGTACTTGTGGGCCTGCAGCAGATAGAACAGGATACCCAGTATGATGCTGGTTTGCTGCATGAGCACAGGTGTTAGGAGGCTGAGAATCAGGTATGTGAGGACTCCTTCCCATAGTCGTGTGGCTGCCTGGCTCTGGCTCATTATTTCCCCACTGTCTTTAACCTCCCAGACCCTGCACCTTTGCTCCTAAGCAGGAAGATGGGCTCTTGACTGCGTCCTGCTAGAGGATACTGAAAGTGCAAGCCTTGGGCTTCACCCAGGCAATGATAAGCCTGTAACCACAGGTTTTGAGGCCAACAGCAGGGATCTTCCCTGCCTCTACCTCTGGACTTAGGGCAGCCATGCCATATCTCTGAGCTTCAGTTTCCTCATCTGTAGAGTGGGCACAATCCTAGGTCCTGTCTCCTTGGGCCATCATGAGGAGTTATTGAGGTTGGCACATTTCCTGGTACACAGCAAGCCCTTCGGGACTGGGATTGATTATTTTCATTGTCTTGGGTCTTTAGGGCTTCTGAAGCAATAGACAAGGAACTTGGTCATTCTGGATATATTGGAATGACATGAATTAAAGACAATTTGTGAATAGGAAAAGACTTTTTCCCCTGGACAGTGGAGTACTGGGTAGTTTTGTCTGATGTTATTGAAAAATAATATAAAAGGTATTTTCTGTTTAATTAAAAGGAGGAATAGACAGAAATGATTTTCTTATAGAAA